TGCTGAAGGCACTGGAGGTACCACTCGTGCCGTGGTATCTGTGGATCGTGGTACCCTAATTCCTCCTGCTCTCCCAGCCGGACTTAGGAGAGGTGCGTTATAGGAACCAGGTAAGCTACTGAACTCCGAGGTGTTACTCGTCCCTTGCCCGCATTTTTTGGGTCTGGGGTCATTTCGAGAACCGAAATGGAGGAACTACAGAGGGCCGAGTTATATGCTTTTAAGGCGACCTTCTTACTGAAGCCTTACTCTTTGCTGTTGGAGAAGCATACAAAACTTTCTGTTGATAGAGATGCACTCTGGGTTGACCGTGACAAGGCAGTCCAGGAAATTCAAAACTTAACAGTTGCTGCCGCTGAATTGAAGTCATCTTTGGAGCAATCCAAATCCGACTTGAAATTTCTATCAGATTCTTTTGACCTTGATGCTGACAAAGAGGCTATCGTCAATTACTTCAAAGAAAAATTAGCTTTGCTAGCATAAAAGGAATCAAGAATTACGGATTTGGCTTTGGATAATGACAAGTTAAAATCCAACCTTCAGGATTTGCAGTCTGATTATGACTTTAGTCAAGCCGCATTGGAGAAAGATGTTGGTTCTGCGTTTAATAATGCTATCAACCAAATGAAGTGCTTTAATCCTGAAGTAACATTGAAGACTGATCAATTGGATTGTTTTGGTTACATCCGGGTGGAGTCTATATCCCTCCTCGAGTTGAGCCAAATCTGGATGTACCTGAGAATGTGACCATTACTCTAGAAGCTGAGGCCGCTGGGCAGGAGTTTGAGGCCGAGGTTGGGGAGATGCTGCGGAGTGACGATCAGTAGTTTGAAAGAAGGACCAGGATGCCGGTTTATTTTGTATTTTTTTGCAATGACTCTGAAAAGTCCTGTTTTGATTTATGATGAACATCGCATATTTTACCATGCCATATGCATTTGAATATACATTTAACTCGTCATTGATTGATTTTTAGATAGCTTACTAACCTGATCAGGGTTATTTTATGCTATTCAGTATTTCCATTTTTAGCAATATCCTCGCTTTATTCGCAAGAACCTAAAAATTTAAGGGTGTCCTCTTATTTTTCAAGTTTATTTATCTCAGTTAGAACTCACATGTTGCTATTTTGCAAGACAGGTTCCAATATCGAAGTTTTGTTACCTCGGCCAGAACTCGTGATCTTGCTATTTTGGCAAGACGGGTTCCAATACCTTGGTTCTAATGCCTGGCTAGAACTCACGATCTTGCTATTTGGCAAGACGGGTTCCAATACCTCAGCTTTAATGCCTGGCTAGAACTCACGATCTTGCTATTTAGCAAGACAGGTTCCAATACCTCGGTTTTAATGTCTGGCTAGAACACGATCTGGCTGTTTTAGAAAGACGGGTTCCAATACCTCAGTTTTAATGCCTAGATAGAACTCACGATCTTGCTATTTTAGCAAGACGAGTTCCAATACCGCGGTTCTATGATAAACATCAAATTTCTGAAGAAATGAATGCTTGCTTTATTCAACTTACTCATAACCGAGTTTGAAATTACAAAGTAAAATTTAAATATCTTTCTGCTCTTCAGCTAAAATACTTCTTCAATTTGTCTGCATTCCACTTTCTTTTAAATTCTTCGCTTGTGGAATCTCCAACATGTAAGCCCCCTTTAAAAGCTTTTCCTTTACTTTGTACGGCCCTCCCCACTTTGGAGCTAGCTTTCCTTCAACCGCGTTACAACCTCCGACGTCTGCTCTTCGAAGAATCAAATCCCCTACCATAAATGATCTGGGCTTCACCTTTTTATTGAACCAGTTAGCAACGAGCTATTTAGCTGCGAAGTTTCTGCAATGAGCCATAACCCGGACCTCATCTATCAAATCCAGCTCCACTGCCATTTTCTTACTGTTTTCTTCTTCTGTTTGTGCTAACACCTGAACTCTCCTCCAGGACGGTTCTCCTAACTCCACTGGAATCATGGCTTCGCATCCATAGGTCAACCTAAATGGGCTTTCCCCTGTGGAAGTCTGCATCGTGGTTCTGTACCCCTAAAGTACGTAATATAGTTCTTCTACCCATTTTCCTTTGGCAGACTGTTCTATCCTCTTTTTTAGTCCTTCTATAATGACTTGGTTAGCTGCTTCCGCTTATCCATTTGTCTGGGGATGCTCTACTGATGCAAATCGATGTCAGATATGAAGGTTCGCCACCAGCTCTTGGAAGGATTTGCTTGTGAACTGTGTTCTGTTGTCAGTGACTACTTCAGCCGGGATACCGAACCTGCAAATTAAGCTCCTTTCAAAGAAATGTTGTATCCTAGCCAAAGTGATTGTAGCCATTGGTTTTACTTCTATCCATTTTGTAAAATAGTCAACAGCCACAATAAACCACTTCAGCTGGCCTTCTGCTACAACGAATGGGTCTAAAAGGTCCATCCCCCATTTAAAAAATAGCCATGGAGCCGTAATTAAGTTTAACTCTTCTGAGGGAGCTAGAAGGTTCTTCCCATGCCTTTGACATTGATCACACCTCTGAACATGCTCCTTGGCATCATTGTTCATTGAAGGCAAAAAATGGCCAGCTCTAACTGCCTTTCGAGCTAAGGCTTTTTCTCCGACATGCTACTCGTTTATTCCTTCATGTATTTCAGCCAATACATATTGTGCCCTATCCGAGTTCAGGCATTTTAACAAAGGTGAAAAAACTCATTTCCTGTAAAGTTTTCCTTCTATCACAGTGTACAAGGCTGCTTCTCGGACCAATTTCCTGGCTTCTTCTTTTATTGATGGTAATACCCCCTTTTCCAAGTATTCCATGATGCTAAAACGCCAATCATCAGTCCTTGTTATTTGCATAACCCAAGTGGGCTTTAGGATGCTCTACTCAACCACTGTCCTGTGATTCCTTCTTCCTTTTGTACTTGCTAACTTTATCAGCCCTGCTATTTTCGTTTCTGGGAATGTGATTGATATCCACCTTTTCAAATTCCGCCATTAATTGTCCGGGGGTGTCTAGATACTTTGTCAGCAATGGCCCCCTTGCTTGGTAACTCCCTGCAATTTGGGAGGTAACCAATTGAGAATCACTAAAAACCTGCAGCCTCTGTGCTCTGAGTTCCTTAGCCTGCTGAAGACCGACTATGAAGGCTTCATATTCTGCCTGGTTATTTGATGTTTCAAAACCCATCTTCATTGAATATTCTATCGATATACCTTCAGGGCTCTGAATGATGATCCCGACCCCACTTCCCTTTGAATTGGAGGAGCCATCCACATATACTTTCCACATATCTGGGCTACTCGAACTCTCGGTTTGGATTGAAGTGAGCTCACTGAAAAAATTTGCCAGTGCTTGAGATTTAATTGCTTTTCGACTTTCGAAAGTTATGTCGAACCCCGATAGTTCAACAGCCCAGCTCATCATCCGACCTGCTAAATCAGGCTTGTGAAGGATCTCCGAATTGGCAGATCTGACCTGACAACAATATCATGCCCTTGGAAATATGCCCTGAGCCTTCTAGCATAAATTAACAAGGAAAATGCCACTTTCTCCAACTTTTGATATCTGAGCTCCGCTCCTTGTAAGAGCCGACTTACAAAGTAAATCAGCTGCTGTCCTTTCTCATCTTCTTGCACTAAAACTGAACTGACAGCAACATCACCTACAGAAAGATATATTATTAGAGTTTCCTTCTCTCTTGGTTTTGTCAAAACTGGTGGAGAAGCTAGCTGATTTTTATCTCTTGAAATGCGACTTCGCATTCCGGAGTCCATTCGTACTGTACCTCCTTCCTTTGTAATTTGAAGAATGGTAATGCTGTTTCTGTAGATCGAGGTAGGAACCTGGTAAGAGAGGCTAACCTTCCTGTTAACTGCTGTATTTCTTTCTTATTTTTAGGAGCCTTCATATCTAGAACAGCTCTGCATTTGTCCGGATTAGCTTCGATACCTCTGTTAGTTAGCATAAAGCCAAGAAATTTTCCTGCATAAACTCCAAAAGCACACTTTGCTGGATTTAAGCGGATGTTGTGCCACCTTAACTTCTCAAAAGTCTGCTCCAAATCTTCAATATGCGCCACATACTCCAATGACTTGACTATCATGTCGTCTATATACACTTCTACACTTTTACCTAGTTGGTCTGCAAACACGTGGTTCATCATCCATTGATAAGTAGCCCCCGAGTTTTTTAATCCAAAAGGCATCACATTATAGCAGTAGTTTTCCTTATCCGAGATGAACGCTATTTTTTCTTGATCATCCTGGTGTAACGGAATTTGATTATATCCCGAGTAAGCATCCATAAAGGATAACATCTGCAATCCTTACGAGCTATCAACCAGCTGGTCTATATTGGGCATAAGGTACGCATCTTTTGGACATACCTTATTTAGGTCGGTATAATTCGTACATACCCTTCACTTTCTATTTGGCTTTTTTACCATCACCACGTTAGACAACCACGTGGTATACTATATTTCTCGAATGAACCCTGCCTCTAACAGCTCCTTGACGTGATCTTCTAGCACTTGTCGGCGCTCAGGGTGAGCTTCCTCTTCTTCTGAGCTACCGGCTTAGATCCTGGGTACACCCCTAACTTATGACAACAGAAAGCAGGGTTTACTCCAAAAAAATTTGTTGACTTCCAGGCAAAAATATCCTTGCTGTTTTTCAAACATCTGACTAGCAGGTCTTTAACGTCATCCTTCAACCCCTTGCCGATCTTCGTGGTTTGCCCTTGCCCCCCAATGGTAACTTCCTCTAATTCTCCATCAGGTTCTGGCCTTGGCATCTGGGTGTCATCCCTCATGTCTAATTCCACCATGTTAACTGATTCTCATTTCTTCTGGCTTGGACCGACTTGGCCATTGTTGTCATTTTCTTTGAGTTGGGTTGAGGATATGGGACCTTTCTCGACCGCTCTAACTGACTTAAAGTAGGATTCCCGAGATTCTCTCTGATCTCCAGAAATGGTGACCACCGTATTCTGTTTGCCAATCATCTTCATTTTCTAATGCTTGGTAGAGACCAACATATCCCAATTATGGATAGTTAGTCTTCCCATTATCATATTATACTCTGAGAGGAAGTCGGCTACGATGAATCGTACCCTTTCGATCTTGAATGCCTCTTTTGACCCGAGAGTAAGTTTGACATCGATGTATCCTTTAGGGGAGGTATTCTGCTCATTGAATGCTATCAAGGTCGTTTTACAAGGCTTCAGATCCTCCTCATCTAGGTTCATTTTCTTGAATGCCTTCCATAAAATTATGTCAGCGCAACTGTCGTTGTCAACAAAGATCCTCTTGACTCGACAGTTGACTAACATCCCTGTTATGACTAGTCCATCAACATGTCTTGGCATTACATCTTCTAGATCTTCTTTGGTAAAGAATAGCAACAGTGGCTCTGGTTGTTTGGGTTCTTCTTTGAACTTGGGCCGCCCTTGGATTGATATCACTTCCCTTAGGTATTTCCTCTTAGCATTCATCGTGTCACCTCCTCCACCAAAGGCTCCACTGATCACGTTACATTCGAACTCTGGTTCTACGAACTCATCTTCTTCTCTGACCGGCTTCTTACCTCGGTTTTCCTCCTTCAGTCTTTTTTCTTTCGTCCGGCTCAATGGCCGACCTTTCCTTTTCCTGTTGTTCTTCCATCCTTGGGTTCTTATAAGGTATTGATGCAACTTGCCATCCCTGATGTACCTTTCGATTGCGTCTTTTAAATCCCAGCATTCATCGGTTGTGTGCCCCAGTCCATCATGGAATGCACAGTATCGAGATTGATCTAACTCGGCCTGATTTAGTAACGGCCAAGGTCTATCAACTTTCTTCATCTTGGTAGAGGCCACGTCCCTCCAGATTTGGGATCTGGTGCATTAAGAGGTGCGTATTTTTCAAACTTTCCTCTTACTGGAGTTCTTTCTTCTTGCTTTTTACCCCGGAAATCATTTTGTCTTTGATTCCCAAGATTTTCAAACGTATTTGGGTTCTACCTCTGATCCATGTTCTCCATTTCCATTTGTTCTAATTCAAGGTACTTCTTCGACCGAGCTGTGAACTCCAGCAACGTTCGAGCCGGATCTTTGTAGACTGATTTAGCCAGCCTAGAGGATCAATGCAACCCTGCTATCACCAGGTGTAGGTGAACGTTTTTAGATAACCTTTAAACCTGCAAAGCTGCCACTTTAAAACGGTCCAAGTATTTATGTAGAGTTTTACCGGGTTGCTGTCTTACTTTCCTTAGTGCAAACTCTGACTTCGGCTGTTTTTTGCTAGTAGCAAAATTCAACAAAATTCTTCAACCAAATTCTTCAAAGGATCAGATAAACCCGGCTGGCAATGATGAAAACCACATTTAAGCTGCTCCTGTTAATGTGGTTGCAAAAAGTCGTGTAATTAAAGGCTTTTCTATCCCCTTAATATACATGGTCGTGTCAAAAGTATCTAAATGCACCTGGGGATCTTGAGTTCTGTCATACTTAGGGAGTTCTGATAAGTTTAAATTTTTCGGGAAGGGTGCATCAACAATCTCGTTCTCGAAGGGACTATCTTTGTATTACCCCCTGTTGTACTTCTTCCTGTATATCCCGGATACATCATTTGGGTTTCTGATTTGTTGTATGTCAACTTGAGGCTGGAAGTTCTCCATTTGTCGTGTCAGATTCCTCTCTCCACCCCGGCTACCTTCATGCCGAGTCCTTGGATTTTGAGCTGAGTTGGTAACTACCCTTTGACCTCGGCTGTCAATGTTCCTCAAATGACCAAGTCTCCCCCCTCGATTATCATTACCCTGACGAGGGTTCGTGATTCTCAAGTCGGTCATGACTTGCGTTATAGCTCGTGCAGGATCCGGGTTCCTCACTTGCCAGAGTTGCGATTCCAACTCCCGGATGTGCCTAGCATCTTCTTTTCTTTGGAGCTCATTCCTTCTCTCCATCTCATCCATCCTTCTGAGCACCGCAACAATGGCTAGATCTGTCACTCGCTGGTCATTGTTTGCACCTTTTGGCATTTGTTCAGCATTCACAACCTGTCTTTCAATCGGCTATAACCCTTCCACATATGGGGCATGGGAGTTAACTCTTGGAGTTGATGTCGAGTCAGAATGTACATCGCTGATATGAATAGCGTTGGTATCTTCTTGCTGATGGTTGTTGGGCACCTGACGCCCGCTTGGATCCTCCCTAATCAGGGGAATTAGTTCATGTCTAGGGTTCGACATTTCCGGTTGCTGGTAACCGCTTCTAGTTGCTCGCACCATTTTGATTGTTGACCTTTAACCACGTGATCGTGGAAACGTGGGTTCGTTCCCCACAGACAAAGCCAATGTTCTGCCTGAATGATAGAGGTGTCTAACCAGAGGTTAGCTTGTTGATGTTGGATCTAGTGCTTTCTCTAGATACCTATAGATTTAGGTATCTTGGGGACAACAAATCACGACAGACGATATAACGGCCTTAGCCAAGATGGGGGGTGGTGTGTGTGATGTGTGATTGCATAAAATAGGTCAAAAAGGGATCATTCATACATGTGGTCTTTAACTTCTATTTATAGAACTTACCTCTGGGCTTTAAGTCGTCTGAGCCACTCAAAAATATGGGCCTTGCTCAGGTCCATAACAAGAGTGATAAGAATTTAGTTAGATTCTATTTGGTTTTGTTAAAAACCAATGATATAATGACTAAGTAGTCAAAACGAAATCAACAGAGTGCCTATATATATATATATATGGGTTTGATTTTTCTGCAGTCGCTTTATGTGCAACATGATTTTTCTGCAGCCGCTTTATGTGCAGCAGTGACAAATTTTCTATATATATAGGTTGAAGCATTTAATATGGGGAATTGTAATCATACAAAAGGTGAAAGCATTAAATGTGGGAAACCATAACCATACACCTATCATTGCTGCACGTACATCATCTTTAGATATGATTTTACCTATATATATATATATATATATAAATGTTATATTTACAAACTTTTTGTTTACAAACTTGTACAAACTACATTAAGTATGACCGATGATACTTCATTAAAGAGTGTATGACCGGTCATACTTAGTGTAATTTGTAAAAAAAAAAAATTGTAAACGGATCCTTCCCCATATATGTGTGAGAAAAATATTTCTCAAGCTGTTTGATATATTTATCTCCGATTATTTTAAAACTACGTTATTTTATTTATTTATTTTCTTATATTAATTGATTCACCTTTGAATAGTTATGGTTCTCTTTTCTCTCTCTCTCTCTTCCTTTATCACCATTGATTCATCTTTGTACGGTTAGTGGCCGGAGATAAAGTTATCTCAAGCAGCTTGAGAAACAATAAGCCTTATATATACATAACCTGAATTCGGAAAAAGGAAAGGGAGTTACGGCTTGGGAAAAAAAAAATAGAGGGAGAAGAAGAGAGAAGATATAGGAAGGGAAAAATGTAATATTGGGAGATAAAACCTCTCTCTTATTCTTCTTCTTTTCTTTTAAAAGTTTTTTAACGGTACTGTTACTCTGCCAGGTTCCTTTCTCAAAATTCTTTTTCTACTTAATTTTATTCATGCCTTTAACTTTATAATTACCTATTTTTTTAAAGTTGATTATTGACTGGTGAATTATTTGGTACCAAATAAATATTAAGAGAATGTGTAAATTTTAACTGTATGATATTGTTATGAACTGAACCACAAAGTTTTGGGTTCAAACGGTTATAGGATAAAGGACGCCTTATCATAGCTTGAGCTCCGCCATACAAAATCTTTCACATGCAAAGACCCACAAAAATTGGGCATTTAAATTAGCTTCAGTTAAATATTACACAATTTATTATTTATTTATTATTATTTCTGATATAATTTCTTTTTATGAAATTACTTGAGAGAATGATATTGTTCGTTATTACGACTGGAATGGTTATAGTTATAAAATCTCAATATTACTGAGAATTTTATTACGTTTTATTTCTTTTGCTAACCTTTCCAGATGCCTAGCTTGTATTTTTACGAAGAAGGATGGAATATTACAGTTTATTTTTATGATGACCATTGTGAATACTACATTGTGATGGGAAATCGGGGAGCCGTATCTGTATTTTATCCAGATAAGGTTATGCATATACTTTAGACTAAACGAGAATCATGTATTAGTGTGTGACTTTAGGATGTAAAATATATAATAAAGTGAGGTAATATGACGTAGGATGTAGGATTGATGTAAACTAGCACTGTAGGTTAGAAAGTATACTTTGCTTTGAAATATGTAGCATGTATAAGTCTATGTACAAATTCACATCCATGTTTATATAAATGAAAGATGTTAATTTTAATTAAATAATTCTTCTAAATTTAATTCCTTAGATTTTCTTTTATTATTATTATTACTATTATTAGAATACACTTTAAGATTTAAGAAATATTTTACCAAAAAAAAATTAAGAAATAATATGATATTCTCTGGATCGATGTTACAAGCTATCCCTGTTTTAAAAGTCACTATAACAACAGCTTAATGTCCTATATGTGCCATATCATGGAGGGACATGTTAGTAGGAACGAGTCATCTTGCTGCACTCGCTGTGGCACATAGGCGTGATAAGTGCCGAGGCCTTAGCTTTCTCTACTCGAGTTCAACTCTTTGTTGCTCTCTCCATGTTTTAATTATATTCATTTTATAGGTTAGTCAACAGTCTAAATTTATTTTATAATCAAATTTTATTACAGAATATTTAAGAAATTTTTTTATTAAGAATATATGCTTTGAATAAAAAAATTGAGTCATAATATTATAGATAATAGCACTAATAGTCTAATACATTATAAGCGTTGACAAAAATAAAATAAAATTTGTTTATAACAAACACTAAAATCGTATAATATCAAGAAGGAATCAACGGTTCACTTGGGCCAAAAGTGCTTTAATCAAAGGATAGATGCTTCCAAACAAAAATGGTTAACCAAGAAGCAACACCATTATAAAAGAAAAAATAATGGGTTTTTTTAAATGTATGACACGAGGATATATATATATATATATATATATATATATATATATATATATATATATATATATATATATATATATATGAGAGGATTTTATGAGTCCAGATATAAATTAATTATTATTATTTTTATACTTTTTTTCTAATTCATTATTTTATCTCTTTAATTTGTACTCGAATGATTAAAAGTCTCATACTTGACATTATATATGTGGCATGAAAGAGTTCATTCCGAAAATATTTAGAAAATATCACTACATAACTAGCTTGTTAAGAGCTCCTTTTCATATTTATATTATTAAAAATATAAAATATATTTCCATACATTATGCTTTCTTTTAAAAAAATTTCTTTCAAAATATGCAATTATTAATTCAATGTCAAATCAAATTATACCGATATAAATGTTAATTTCAATCCTAATCGTTAATTTCATTTGCGTTTACGTCTCTAATTTATTAATTATATTTACCATTACATATAAATAAAATCTTATAAAACTTCTTTCTCTTACTCGATCCCAATGATAATGTATATAAATAAAGATTTAGTGTTACTCCTATCATATGAGATAAAGATATCTACTACGAATTCTAAAATTTTGGAGTTTTAAAAAGGAAAAAAAAAGCATTTAAAAAAGCATATTACAAGATGAAATAAAATTATCAAAACACCCTATAATTTTATTGTTTCAAAAAATAATTTTATCCCTTTTTTTAATAAATTAGTGACAATAAAATTTAAGTTTATAAAATTGTACAAACTACCCAAACCCTTTAATATTTGACGCATCCTGATAGCTTTGAAAAACACATAAATATTTGAAAATTATGCTAGAAAAAAATTCTCATGCAAAAAAAATAATTACGTAAGTAGTAGATAATTATAATATTAAAGCTGTTTTATTTTTCTTTCTTCTCAGATATTGTCCGCTGGTGTGATGGAAAGAGAAAATAATTTTATCATTATAATTATGTACTACCCATAGTATATAATAATTTTTTTTTGTATGAGAAAATAATTTTATAAAATCATAAAAAAATGGAACCCATAAATATTTGTAGGAAAATTATACTCTTATGTTACATCAGATTCTTTTTTCATGTTACGCTCACATAAAATATGTGCCTCATTTTTTTTAAAAAAAAATTGATAGACTCCGCTTAATTTATCCCACAATATAAGATAACTTCTCCCCTGTAATGCTCCAACCTCATGGGATGCCACACTGCACACCTAATAAGTGAGTTATGTCCAAGAAGTAAATTGTTGAGACTAAAAAGTTTCCAATTCGAATCATATGGAAAACAACTTGTGGTTAGTGTCAAAAACCTATATCGCAAGAAGGATATTAGTATCATCCAAATAGATAAGCATCTGAATAATAATAATAATAATAATAATAAATCCACTTATTATCAATTAATTTTATTATTTTTATCATTAAATTTTTACCATTAATTTTTATTTATCTGACGAATATAATTTATTGATGATGTTTTTTAATTAATTATTAATTTTTAATAAATTAATCAACAGATTAATAAAAATTAATAATTAAAATTTGATGATAAAAATAATAAATTTAATCGTTGGTAAATATATCCCAAAAAAAATGTATGCATGTATATATACGGATGGACAGAACTAGGAGTATAAATAGGCTACGTTAGACTTTGACTTTTTTCTTGTTACATAGGCTAGGCTTTTACTTTAATAGATCAGACATGTGGAAAAAAAATTAGATCTGGCATGGCCTGTTAGTCTATGTAGACTCCAAATTACAAGTCTGACTTTATCGATATCTAAAAAGTATAAACCTTGGCATATGCCCTGTTAGCATGTTTAAGTCTATTAAATATTCAATAAATAATATTATTTTATTATTTAAATGTATTAAAATAATAATTTTATTTAGAATAAATAATATAATATCGACAGACCTTATAAGATTGATATGTAAAAAAGACTATAATTTATTTTTTAAATATATTTTTTAAAATTTAAACCTATTCTATTTTATTATTTGTAAATTGTAAGAGAGATAGCCCCCTCCTCCACCGGACACAGTCACACACCTATAGCGCATAGCATATCATATCGTGTCGCTCGTTTTGTCATTTGTCAAATCTTATCTAATATTATAAATATTCCTAGATTCCTTCGCACTTAGCACTCTGTTTCATTCATCAAATATGCAAAGGCAAATCCAGTTTTTGAGTTTTCAACTGTGATATTCAATCCAACCCGATAACATTCAGCATCAATGAAATTCGGTAAAGAGTTCAAAACCCATTTGGAAGAAACAATCCCTGAATGGAGGGACAAGTTTCTATGCTACAAGCCATTGAAGAAGCTCATCAAACATCACCTTCCCACCACAACCACACCCATCAACCTTCTTCCTCTTGATCACCTTCTTCAACAACAACCATCTTCTTCCCAAATCCTCCAGGCCTGGTTCGTTCGGATTCTCAACGAAGAGCTTGAAAAGTTCAATGATTTCTATGTTGACAAAGAGGAAGAGTTTGTTATCCGATTCCAGGTTCTAATTTCCCAATTCCAATTTTTATTTTATTTTATTTTCACTTCTTTGCATGAACATGTTATGTTGGTACCACTGAATCATTTTGTGATTCTGATTAGTTTCTATTAAAATGGGTAATTGGTAATTAGCAAATTATGTTTGCACAATTGGGTATTTGAGAAAGTTCTTGGCTTGATCAAACCCTAATTTTTTTTTGTCTATACATATGTATATATAGGCATGCGTTGTGACATGTACATAATATGTTGGTACTAATCCATTGTTATTAATTTTGATCAAAATGGGTAATTACTAATTGGTAAACTGTGTTTGCACAATTGGGTATTGAGAAAGCTCTTGGCTTGATCAAATATAGACACATACAATGTGAAAAATACTAAGTCCCTTCCACCCCTGTTTTGACTAAATGAATATGAAACCTTAAATTTCTAGTGGGCAGTTCTGCTGAGCAACATGCCTACTGATACTTCATGGGTTGTTGAAGATTTTTTTAGCAATTATACAAAATAATCTATATGGGAATAATACAAGTATTTTACAAATTGGTACATTAATTTTTAATAATTTTAGTTGAAAGGTTCAATAGAACCAATACCATCCACCCGTTTATATTCCTACTATACAATTTATATTTCTAACATACAATAGTCGGGCAGACTTTAGGTTTTACCCTAGCTACCCGATATATTCCCGTACCCAGTTGCCGAATCAATCTAATAGTAAATTGAGCCTATCAGACTTGAGCTTAATCCAAATTGCTGGGAGTAGCAGATGAAAGTAATAGGGTTGCAGCTAGGACATATGAGGAGACACTCTTGTAGCAACTCTCTCACACATAAAAGGGAAAATTCCGACTTGTTGAGGATAAGGGTGAAGGTCGATTGTATACAGCCTGATCTTTGAATTTTTGCTAAGAGGTTGTTTTCCAGACTCGGACTTGTAAACTTCTGGTCTCAAGGAACCACCTTACCGTTGCAAATGGTGTTCTTATATGGACAGTAGCCCATTATATAAGCTCAATCTGTCTATTGAAAAGAGATAAATCATGTGTAATAAAACTTATCCTAATCTGAAGATTAATAAAACCTGCAGCTAAGCAAGGCCCAGAGTCCTTACTCCTAGTAGCTAGCTAACTAACTGGAGCCCAAGCAATACACCAAGTAACATAATTAGGCTTCCTTGTTTGGCACATGGTTCAATACTCATTTTAAGACACTATCGGTGATTAATTTATAATGTTGGTAAATGGTAAGTATATGCCTTCATAAATGTTGACAATGGTCTAAACTCTAACTCGATGGCTTAAAATTGACATTCATTCTCTCTGTTTTCTCTACAACATATGCAGCTCCTATGTGACCCTACCGATTAGAGTGATTTTCCTCAAACAATTTGATTGTCACAACTCACAAGTGTTCATCAATATGAATGTGAAATCTTTTTTTATTTTTATTTATAAATATATGACATAAAGTAACTATTAGGAATGAAAATGTAATGAACAAATATATCATTCTAATATGTAGCATATCTAAATCTATGCAATTTAATCATCAATAACATTAATGATATTAGATTCCTCATGCTTTTCCTGCAAGCTGGAAAACTGGATATAATCTCTCTTCTAGTGCAAAATTTTTCCTAGTGTTAATGCAAGACACAGAATCTGCAATGGCATAGTTCACTAAACACATGTTTGATTGGTGATTTTCAAGAGTGGCTCTAGGCTTAGCTTATCAGATATATACCTTTCCTACTGTAGGGGATTAATAATTGACTATGAATTGTATACTGAATCCAACTGTTCAAATACTTGGTTAAAAGACTGGATTGACAACACGCTGCTTTGTTTCTTTCCTGATTTTTGTTGCAACTTTGAACAGGAGCTGAAAGAAAGAATTGAACGACTTAAAGAAAAAAGCAGCCAGAGTGAAATGTACACCTCTGACTGTGAATTTAGTGAAGAAATGATGGACATCAGGAAGGACTTGGTCACTATCCATGGCGAGATGGTGCTCCTCAAAAACTACAGTTCCTTAAACTTTGCAGGTACAGCATCGAATTAATCTGATGTGTCCTTTTGATGGTATGGAAGTCACCGCTTTAATGTGGAAGTAGCATGGTTTCTTGATATTGCCTGTGCAGATTACATGATTCATATATTTGAATATAGGAAAAACTGCACAAGCCACCCTAAACCTTATGCCTTTTGTAAATAGGTACCCTTAACTTCATCCCAATTAGTCTATAAACTCTAACTATTGTTACAATAGGCCCTTCTTTTAGCTTAGAGTTAATTTGCGGTTTACAAATCCTAATAGTTCATCCTTTTTAAATCCAAACCATTGATTCCTATTTTCATTTAGAAATCATATTATCTTAATTTTAAATTTTCTTAAATTAAAAAAAATATGAAACAAAGAACTCAAAACTTGAGACATTGTCTTCTTCTCCTGGACTAAGAAAAATAACGAACGTCTCAAGTTTTGTGTTTTTTTATTGGTCTAGCAAAGAAAACGAAGATAACAAATCAACTTGTGTTTATTTATTTTTTGTCCTTTTTAATTTAGTAAATTAAAAAAAAAAAAAGATATGCTTTTTTATTTCAAGATATTAATAAGTGGTTTGGATTTGATAAGGATAAATGGTAAGGATTTATTAGCTGTCATAAACTCTAAATTAACAAAACGACTTAGTATAACAATAGCTGGAGATTAGGAACTATTTGGGACAAAGTTAAAGATGAAGGTGCCTTTTTTGCAAAATGCAAATAAGTTAAGGGTGGCTTCACTTTTCTCTTGAATATATATATGTCTGATGAGGTTTCAGTTAGGTAATTGTTGATTCTGAAGCCATTAACATATTTTGACTTCAACAGGACTAATTAAAATTTTGAAGAAGTATGATAAAAGAACTGGCAGGTTGTTGCGTCTGCCTTTTACACAGCTTGTTCTTCGTCAACCTTTTTTCACTACTGAGCCTCTCACAAGGCTAGTTCATCAATGCGAGGAAAATCTTGAACTACTCTTTCCCTTAGAAGCAGAAGTAATTCAATCTACTCCCCCTACGGACCATCAATCTAGTAGACCACTCGTCGAAAATGCAACAAATGGATTACCTGGGGCATCCTCAACTCCTGGGGAGGAAACTGTGGATATATATCGTAGCACTCTTGCTGCTATGAGAGCCATAAAGGGTCTTCAGAAAGCAAGCTCCACATGCAATCCATTTTCCTTTTCTTCCCTCTTTAACAACCAAGATGATGATGATAATACAGGTGCTGTAACAGCTGAAAACTCTGCAGCAAATTCTCCAGCTACCTTGCAGAATGAGGAAGGCTCAGATAAAGAGGATACTGACTGTGTGTAGGACAACTTTTCTTTTAGGGTTGCTTCCTATCTCTTCTTTTGGATTGCTTTTTCAGCCTTGTTGGTTGAAACTAAATGTAGTGGTATATGTTTGTTCGTATATACAATAAATTACGCTTAATAATGAAACACTTTGTTTAGCATTTCACTTGTAAATTGATACTTGAACACTGCCTTTTTGCCCCTTCACTTCTATGCCTTTATGCTTCTCTGTAACTCTTGTTGTTTTAAGTTTTAAATTGTGCTGGTAAGTGGTGACATTAATATACAATAAGTTAGACGTAACGTGAGATATACTTCTTTAGCATCTAACTATAGAAAATGATACTTCTTTAGCAGTGCCTCTGGATTATGTTATAAAATTATGGGAGATCTGACGTGTGGTGTGGCATGGGATCAAACAATTGTACTCGGTTATGTCTGAGATACATAAATAAAAAATAAAGGCTACAAGTAACATCCAAATTTCACCTCACAAAGTAGCAACCAAGTAATAATTGTATAGGTGCATGTGTCAATTATATCTGGTTTTTCCGAGATAACTCCCTGTGAGTCTCTTAAAGTTGAAGCAAAAAAGCTATTGTGTGCCAGGGTAATAGATTTGGCACATTTGGCACTGGAGACCTACTTGCACCAATACTCTGGAAAAATTTGAACTGTCATGTCCGACACTCTAATATTCCGCTCCGATATTTATAATATTTAAAATTTTATTAAATATCATGAAAAAATTGATCGATGTTTTATCAAACTGATATAATAAAAATTAAAAATAGATATCGAATAAATCTTATTGGAATGTATAAGATATTTTCAAGTTGAATATATAATAGTAAATATTTATATTTTATGTTTCTTTAAAAAATTGATGAGTATTATAAGTTTAGTTTCATTTTTTTGTTAAATTATTGAATATTAAATATAATAAACACTATATAAATTAAAAATATTATTTAATATCAAAATGTGTCATTAAAATATTGAAATTTAACCTTTTTTAGAATTAACGTGTTGGAGTGTCGTATCGCGTGTCCCAGTATCGGTGCAAATAGCTGGAGACTACTAATTACTATACAGAAATTCCTGTGTACAATTTTCTTGTTCATTTTCCTCTTAATTTCTTTATCTTTACATCTCCCTGGCCATCTCCTCTTTCCTCCTTCATATATTTATCTGGCCCTCTCTTCATCATCATCTTCATAATTAAACAGAACGGGTACTGACTTAAATGCGCGGTACTTGCCTACATTGTTCAAGAACAGACAGCCATCCAGTCTTTTTAATCAAGTAGCAATGAGTGAAGTTTTAGAACAGTGGGCCTTGATTGCCCACTACAGTGATTTATGAGGCACTAAACGTATAAGAATTCATGCAATAAAACAAAGAGAAATTTCATATTACAAACTTTTTGTTTACAAATTATATTATGTCTGACCGATAAGACACTCTTGAGCATAGTCTTACCGGCCAGACATAATGTAGTTTGTAAATTTGTAAAAAAAAAAGTTTGTCAATATAACCCTATATCTAAAAAATCTTGTTTTGTTAACAGGATTAAATTAGAATCCAGTCACAATTTATGAATAAGACCAGAATGTGCTTCCTTACATATTCGCAAGTGTAATGCACCATAAACTTCTACTCATTTCACCTTATATTAGTTTGATTAATCAGTTATCAAACTTATTTAACCAATAATTTCAGCAACAAATCCCCTAGTTAATTATAAGTTGAATGTTGATTAAAATTTATGTAGTTGGTTAGCTGAGGTAATATATGTAGAATTGTGTATATCTAACATTATTCACGTTCACAAACTTTTTCTTTCATGTTCTGACACCCACTAAATATAGTTATTCTGCTGCATTACTAGAGAAGTTAATAAGTGCACCAAAAAATTAAGTACCTGAAGAAATTCCTAATGCCACGACGAAGGTTCTCCAAGCATGCAACTATAACAGTTAAAGCTGTTCTATGCAGGAAAGGGGTTTGCCTAATGCCTAAAACCGATTGCATCCACGCAAGTCGTAGAAGAACATTCAACACCTAAAATTTCATTCATGTACACACCACAAGTCAAGCATGTAACCAACACAACAACGAAGAATTCACATGCTTGCCATCCAATAACTTACCATGGTACACTTTTCCTTGGTATACAATTTTCCTTGGTACCCTGAGTTTATCTCTCAGCCATGGGTTTCTTGAATTCCTTTGCGGCATACCGTAATTTATGACAATGTCCCAATATGTATTAGTAATCATTGCAAAGCTTGAAGTTGATGCAGCCAAAATAACCCAAATCATCTTTCCTTTGTTTAAATCATTTCTAGTCCTCATGGCAAGTTCATTCATTGTTGAAATTTATTTAAGCCCACTAAGCCCATGCTTTGTTTCTCTTTCCTCTATTAAACGTCGAAGGCACTATAACATAACAAGGTTCAATGTTAGATATGTAAATTACTACTAGGCCATCATTATAAGTGATCAGAAATTCTAGTCCACAAGATACTTTGAAAAAAATATTTACCATGAAAGAAAATTAGCCAGATTTACATAGTTTTCTTAATATTGAAAATGAATGATTTTTTTATTTTTGAGATTTCTCCCTGGGTCATCAATTACTCAATTAATCTGGTCGAGTCAAGTTTTTAACATAGTTGCATATCTAGGACTTGAACTTGAGACCACTGATTAAGCTAAAACAACCTTGTGCCAATACATCCATGTGCTTGATTGTAAAAAAGAAAAAATGAAATTCTGTGAGCCTATCAGTTGCATTCCTGGACATAACGGATCCAGAATGGAATAATAGCTACAATGACATAAAATGTTTTATAAACATCACTTTGAAGGCAATTGTTTGATCTCTTCTTGAAGTTTCCCCAGCCATAGCAGCAAACATAGAATTCCAAACTTCTGAATGCCTGCACCTGAACCCAAAGAAAGAATAGTGTTGCCATATTAGAAAATCCTCACCTAATTGGCAATTAAGATTTTACTATTTGAGGATTCAAGTAGCACAAGAATAGCTTCTATATGATTTCATGATTTGTGCTTGTGCTGTTACAGAATTGTGGTTTGCTAGATGATTAAGCAAATATTATGCAAATTCAGCCTTAACAAAAATGAGAGTATACATAATGACCTGCAAACATGAAAAAAAACAAGATTATTACCATTAGTAAAGTTTTCAGCATAAGCAGATCATGTATCTTCTTGGAATTCTTCTTTACCTTATAAAGAGGAGCACAAATACACTGCAATGCAGTTTGAACAAGGAAGAAGCGTCTGATTTGTGTATAATGTTGAAGGGACAAAATGTTATAAGAAGCAAAACCTGATCAACAAATTCATTAGCATTTGTTCATATAGCCCAGTAAAAAGGATTATATCATGAATCAAAAATAACAATAGCATGTGTTGTGGTAGTCATTTGCTTTCCACAAGGATTGCATTGAGTAACAAACCAAATACAATCCATGACTAAATCTGGAAGAAGATATTTTCTAAAAAAATATACCATGACAAGGCCTAATGGTACTAATTATGTGAAACTTTTTGTTCATGGTTCCATCTCCATATCCAACTTTGGGACGATTGCGGCCAATGTTAGTACTGCAAGGCCAGAACTAAGAAAAAAAACTTCTCTGTAGCCCAATTCTGTTCCTTGTTTGAAGCCAAATATAAATGTGTAATTGATTTTAAAACGACTCCAAAAGTATACATTTGCTGAATACATGAGCATATGTAAGATGATCTATCCAAATAAACTGCAAAAAACATGAAGTTCATTAATCATGTTTCTTGATATCATTGTCCCAAAAGAGGTCTAAAAAGTAGTGTGTAACCATTACCATCTTAACAACTAATTGCTATGGAAACTCAAATTTTGAGGTTGCTAAACCACGAATGCATGAAATACAAACACACAGAACAGTAAGTATACCTGTAAAGAGGAAATATTTGTTTTTAGAATATTTCTTGCATGTATGAGTAGCAGAAGTGCCACAATAAGAGCAAGTTAGCATCCATTAAACAGCCCTAGCATATGAAATAGTTAAGTGCTTGTTCGAGAAAGTAAATTGAATATTGTGTATTCTTTCTGAGCAAAGAATTGTTATGCAGATAGAGTTAAGTTACTACAATTCCATTTTACTTACTGTTTGATCCTTGAACTTTTTTTTTTCAATGTTCATGATGATACTAATATAGGCCAGGAATTGCTATCTTTAAAAATCAACCATTTATTGGAGCTCAGCCCTTCACCAATAAGAAAGTAACTCTGTGTCGTTCCCTTTTAGCAGTTGGTCTCAATGTGTTCATTCCTTTTTTGCGATTTCCATTTGCAAAGTGCTTAATGAAGGCAGATTCTACATTTTCCGTAAGCCTATTAACCTGTGCAAGACATGATGGAGCAGGCAGCATTTTAGTCTTGGAAGACTACTTTTGATGCATTGAGAGAAGATGAGAGAATATGTTTTGAAGGTTGAACCTCATCTGAACTTCCAAATTAAGAATTTTCAACCACCTTTAAGTATTCCTTTGAAGCCTTCCTTGCAGTGACCTGCAGTAATAATAGTCAGTGCACACAGAACAGAACTGTAAAGATTGCAGCCAAATGAGATCTTGTCATACTTCTTCATGATTTTTGAGAATACCAAAATGTTCAAGAAGCTGCAAAACAATTGAGCATGTCTTCTTTATTAATCATGTAAAGAAAGGAAGAAAGATGTAAAGAATCTGATAGAACTAAACTCTTCTATCAATTAAAGATGGAGAAACTTTGTATATTAATGGAAAAAGGGAAAAACAATTACAGGAATTTATAACAAGAAAAGATAATGAGCCAGAGCTCCCAGCTATAGAGATCACTCCAACAGCCCTTCTACACAGTAGAAATTAACTGAAACAAATGCATACCCCACTCTCCTCTCATCCCCCCTCATATAACAATCCAAAAGCAAAATAACAAACTGCACTCGTCATTCTCTCACTATAACTGCCCACACAAATCTATTACACGTCACCCCCTTTTCTTTCCCTATTCCTCCTATAGTAAACCAATGTTGGTCCAGTCCTCTTCCCTTGCTTGTCTTGCATCTCTGCTTCTGTTGTATTTGGGCCTGTTACAGCTGTTGTGTTTGGGCCTGTATTCAGGTTTGCTGCATCATTCAAGTCTGGGCTTTCAATCATCCTAT